GGTGAACATTTGTTTCACCGAAATTTCGATGTCTACAATGGGTCCGAAGTTATTTCCCCTGTAAAAATGATGATGCCCATAACAAAAGTTTCAGCATTCAACGATGTGGAGTAGGATGTTGCAGCATGCGCAAGTTGGAGGTGGAAAGACCTTAAGCTACTTAAGCAAAAGAGGGCAGAAGTAGCTAGGAAACCATCCATGTACCACCAACAAGTTACCAAAGCCTACAACCGCACAACCAAACCATGCAACTTCAAGGAATGAAAGCTCGTCCTCAGGACAGCTGAGCACATAAAGAGGCAGATCTTCGGATCTTCGAAGTTCACCCAACATTGGGAAGGGCCTTTTGTGATCAAGGAAGCCTATCGAAGTAACTACTACTACTTGACTTCGGTCAAGGAAGGTACACTAGCAGAATGTGTTAATGCAAAGTGACTAAAGCCGAATTACTATTAGAACACTCACGCTTACTTTAGAAGAACAAGCTCCTTTTATGCAATGGTCATTTTGCTTAGTCTATGAGGCTTTGTAAAGCCATGCAACGATTAATGTACCCCAAATTTTATTGAAATTAAAGAGCATTTTGTCAAAATCTTTGGTACATTCATTTCTTTACTTTGGCAAAGGTAACTAGAAGACTTTCTTCTAAACAAACTATAGTAGTAATCATACCAAGGCTATAATAAAAGCCCATGCCAAGCCTATCAATGCCATGCAAGCTACTTAATGGTTCAATGTTTATGCAACATGCCAAGCTAACATGCCATGCAAAAACATTGAGTCAGACAACTTAGGCTTTTCCACTTATACAATATGCCTAAGCCTATTGATGCAAAATACGCCAAACTTAACATTGAAAAACCCAATGCTAAGCAAGTCAAGATTTCCTGACTTGCTATGCTTCCTTATGGAAGCTGCGACATCTTTTTCATCCTTCCTCAGGGAAACTCACTGACAAAGTACCAAGCGGCAGGATCAACTATTTCCCCTAGGAAAACAGGCAAAAGCTCAAGCTTATGTCTCAAAGGCTAAATAAAAGTCCATCCAACAAACTCTTATGCATGAAAAAGCCAATATCATGGCAAGAAAAGTAAAGACATTGCAAGCATTATGATAAGATCAACATCAGCATCAAAGCCAAAGGAAAGAGTCGAAGAAAATAAACAAAATACAAAGCAGAGCGACCCCATGGCCATTGTTCGAAAACAATAAGCTAGCTATCCAAGCGAAAATTACAAATAAAAGTAAAGGTAGAGTGAGGAAAACAATCTTCTTCATAGCCTGCTGCAGCAACATCTCAAAGTTCACGCTCTGCCAAGAAAAAGAAGCTGAGGGTTAGAAAAATGCAAACAGTCAGGCAAAGCAAGTAGTCATAGGAAGGTGAGAAGTTAAGCTCAGAACACAACCTCTCAGATGAACTACTAGAGGTGTCAGCAAGCAACTGATCTGCTGCAAGTTGAAGGCACGCTGCTACTTCCTTAGAGCTCCAGCGAACCAACTTCTTCAATTTGAGCTTCTCAACCTCTAGTTCATTAAGATGCAGTTCGAGAACACGCATCAATTTGTTGACTTTGATGAATTGATCCAAGACACCTTTCTTTTCAAGCTGAAGTCCAAACATGGTATCGCGCAACTCTCCCAGCCTCTCAATTAAAGAACCCACGGGCACACCCAAAGCGGCTACATCGCTGATCATGTCACGCCAACATAGCAGTTTGTGCTTTGTGAGTTCTAATGGGGAGGTGTGCTCCATACCGTAAAGTAGAAGCCCAAGCTCTTCAAAGATCATCCCACGCATAAAGGGAGATAAATCTATCAAGCTCACATCTGCGTCACTAGCATGCTCAAAGAACTTGACCAATGCCTCAGCTAGTCCAGAACGAACCTTCACTCCCCTAAAGTCGACCCTAGAAAAGAAGGTCTCGCCAGAAGGAATCAGTTCTTCAACTGAACTTAACACCCTGTCTTCATTGGCAAGACTATGCTTGAGCTTCTCGAGGGCTTCATGCCATGATGCCCACTCTTCAATCGAAGCTAGCTCCTCAGGAGAAAGAACCTCTTCAGGAAAAATTGTAGGCTCGAGAGGAACACAACTGAGGATTTGAGCCATTCGCTTCCTAACACCACCCACATCATCATAACCAACTTCATCCAACCTTTCCTCATCTTCCTTTCTCACGGGTTCCCCCTCACAAAAGATCTCAGTGTCAGGGGCAACCACACAATATTCTCCTGGGTCAGTTTCAATGACCTTAAACTCTACACTTTTCATTCCTCCTCTGACAAGGAACAAATCTCCTTTCCTCACAGGGCGGTAAGCTTCTAGGAAATAAGCTGCAAACAAAACAAAGGGATATAACAAGCCAAGTTTTAGTGTCCAAGGGTCAAAAAAATACCTAAAGAAATTTAGCCCGATACAAAATGGCAGACAACATGCTAAGGTAGTGCAAATCATCTGCATCAAACTTACATTTTTCAACGAAATGGCATGAACAGTTAAAATGGAGTAGGAAGCGATCCAAATAAATTAATGTAGATGTATCATAAACACTTACAAAGAGGCTACATAGAGAAATAAAAACAATTGAGCAAACCACAATAATATGTTCCTAGACCAACAATCACCACAGTGACCCTGGGAAAGTAAAAATTGTAGAAGAATTTGGATAGGGCCAATTGTGGAAGGTTTAGGATAGGGCCTAAGCCCTGGTTTGGTACTGAGGTACTTCTTCAAAAAAAAGAGCTTTTTTATGTTTGGTAAACATTCATCTTCAACTTTTTTTCACAATTTTGGGTGAAAAAAAGCCAAAAACACAAAGTTTACCAAACACTCTGCTGCTTTATTTCACAGCTGCTTATTCTCACAGCACAGCCGAAGCAGTTTTTTTTGTTCAAAGCACAACAATACCAAGGGCTGGTTTGGTATTGTTGTGCTTTGAAAAAAAGTTGTTTCTGCTGTGCTGTGAGAATAAGTAGCTGTGAAATAAAGTAGCAGAGTGTTTGGTAAATTTTTTGTAAAAGTTCTTTCGAAAAAAAAAAAAAAAAGCAGTAGTATAGTGTTTGGTAAATTTTATGTAAAACAGATGTGAAAAAAAATCGTTTTTTCAAAGCTGGGTTTTGCAGTTTCTTGTTTTTGGCTTTTTTTCACCCAAAACTGTGAAAAAAAGTTGAAGATGAATGTTTACCAAACACAAAAACAGCTCCTAACTTTTTTTGATACTAGCTTTTTTCAGGATCACCTTAGTACCAAACCAGTCTTAAGTAACAAGTAAACCACAAAGATAAATATTTTAAAAGTAAAACAAATGACCACCAAAGATGTCACCAACTCACGTTTCAAAAAGGCATCAAATAGATTTCCGGTAACTCCTTCTATAGAGTCGTCAATAGGTAGAATGTGAACACGCTTCCCATACTTAACATCAGAGCATAGATGTACAGACACAACATCCCCAATTCGAACCCTTAAATTCGACCTGACAACCTTGTTCATCCTGATTCTTGGCTCTTCACAGGTGTAATCAGCAAGTGCAATGCAGATTGTGTCTTTTCGTTTCTTCCCCTGAAAACCCAATCATAGATAATTAAATAAACAAATGAGCCGTAAATCAAAACCTCCGCAAATTAAAAAAAACACAATGTCATACAAATAAAGTAGGACGTGGAAACACTTGGGTCTAGTTCGTTGACAAAATCCAATTAACGAATATCTATTGCATCACAATGCCATGTACCTAACAGGTTCCGCTAAAGTAAAAGTGATAACTTTCCTTCTTTTATTAATTCTCAAACTTAAGCTTCCAAACCAATGAGTACAAAGCAACCCAATTCTGGGTTCGAACTAAATTTGCAATTCAACCTCAATTCACATTCTAAACGAAGTTGTTTCATAGAACATACAAATTATGCAACAACAAAAAATTTCCCTAAAACGTCATCCCAACAAAACCCTAGTGTGATATTTTAACTTTCAATTTATTTGATAAGCTACCCTAAATTTTACGTTCTGATTAGATTGAAAAAAGAAAAAAAAAAAAAAAAACACGCACCTTGATGAGGATGGTGTCGCCACGGAAAAGCTGTAGCTTTTCCATGGTTTCGGGATGCATTGAAACGATGGAGTTATCGTCGTTTACAGCCTCATCAACGACGAGACAGTTCGGCGACTTCTTCCGCTCCAGAGTTGCCGTCCACAAGTCCTTGTTCTTCCTGCAGAACAATCAAATCCCCAGTCAGAATTTGAATATTTACGCAAATAAACGGAAAGGAAACACTCCGACATATAAAAATTGTGGAAAGTAAAACAAAATTAATGGTGGCGAGTTGACTCACGAGTCGGACGATTCGGCTTGGTGAGCCATGGCGGTGGAGAATTTGAGAGATCAGGAACTGTGGTAAACGAAGAACAGAGATAGGGAGTGTTTGGAGTGTGTTTTTCTTTATTTTTTTGAAATGGAAGCAATAAATTAATTAATTAAACTCATGAAGAGTTACATATGTCTTAGCGTAGAAGTTCCTGAATAAATGTAAGAAGCTCTTCAAATCAAACTAAATTATTGCTACTAGACAAAGCAAACTTCACAAGACATCGCAAGACATTGTGCAACACCATTACATAAACAGGAGACATGAATAAACTTCACCATAAAGAAAGTGAAGGCCAGCTGCATTATTTCATCCGCTATCATACAAATCGCGGATGAGTCAGAATGGGTCCTATTAAAAGTTGCAATGACCTTCATGCAGTCACTCTCCACCACGACCTGTTGAAAGTTGTGAAGGTTTCCTTTTGAAAAGTTGGGTCCAAATGAGAAAATGCTGGGGATAATTTAGAAAAAGTGGGACCCCAATTGTGGACTGTAACTGAAAATTTACATCGGATGCCAAATTTGTCCCTTAAAAAAAATCATTACATTTTGGAAATTATGCAAAATAGGACGAGAAAAACATGAAAAGCAAAAATGACAAGGACCAAAAAGGATAAAGTGGAGATGCAAAGCATACGTAAGCCGGAATAACCGGGTCAAAAAATCCGCTGGTTTAATTAGTTTCCTCCCTCTTTCTCACTGCTACTGTCTAAGCCGTCACTTTCTCTCTCTCTCTCTCTCTCTCTCTCTCTCTCCCCGCCTCCCTCCTCTGAGCTTACTCAGATCCAGGTATGTCTCTGCTTCAACCTCTCAAGCTTTTACTACATATCCGTTTGAAGTAGTTAAGGTTTAGATACAAGCTTTTACTTTCTGTTTGGTCTCTGAGAAATGGAACAGAAAATCTAAGCAGAAAAACACTATTTAAATTTTTCTGGGGGTTTAATGTTTGTGTTTTAGTTCAGTTTTCTAGGACGAAATCGAATTTTAGGATTCAAGGATATAGTTTTCTTAATCATTGTTCTGTTTTTAGCCACGGATATTTGTGTGTGTGTGTGTTTAAATTGATTTTCTTTCACATTCAACGTTGCAGAAATAGTTCCTTGTGATCTCAGTTTAGTTGGTGAGGAAACTAAAAAAGAAGGAAACACGTTGTAGTTTTATGTTTGATTTCGAAGCTCGAACTTTGACGCGTGTGTTCATGTTTCCATTTCAGATTTCTCATAGAATAAATGAATATAATCGAGAAATATTTTTTTTGCCAAGATTAACATTTGATGACAAAATGCCATTTTTGAAGAACAGTAGTTGAAATGTTTTGCTAAAGTAATTACCTTGTAGTTCTTCCAGTATTCTGTAAACCCGGATGGCATTTCAGTTCCTATATTCTGCATGTGGTGAGGGACGGGTGGGTTTGTGGGTTAGAATTAGTATAGGTCCGGGGTTCGATTCCCTCTAATGAAGCCGGAAAATATCCCTTTTCAGCCTTAAATATAAACATCAACTGATTGGGGGTAGGGATGGTTTGTCTTTCTAGTTAGGGTTATTATCCAAAATGGCCTCTGAAATTGAAAATCAATATAAATGGTCCTTGAGATTATCCACCATCCATGATTTTGGTCATTCCGTTAAAAACGATTTTGGGCAATTTTCAAAGCTTTGTAACTCAATCGTTTCTTAACCAAATTCGACTCATAATATATCAAAATGAAGATAGGAAAGTGTAGATTAAGATTATACTATTTGGAAGCCCAATGATTGCAAAAGATGGCCGGAAAATAGCCTGAAAGGTGACTAGTCCGCGGGCAAACTGGAAAACTCACCGGAAACTAGGTAAACTTTAAACGTTCATAACTTTTTCAATATTCAACCAAATCAAGTGATTCAAAAACTAAAATAATACTTCTTGACATGATGAAGAGAATGGTACTTTTTTCGAAGGCTAACTCGCCGTGGTTTGGTCGGTGAACGGCTCGAAAGTGGCTAACCATTTTCGAGTTAGCCACTTTCGAGCCATTTTCCGGCCAAACCACGGCGATTTAGCAGTAAAAAAAGATACCATTCTCTTCATCTCATCAAGCAGTATGATTTTCATTTTTGAATCACTCGATTTCATTGAGTATTGAAGAAGTTACGAACGTTTAAAGTTTACCCAGTTTCCAGCGAGTTTTCCAGTTTTCCCGCGGACCAGTCACCTTTCAGGCTATTTTCCGGCCATCTCCAGCAATTATTGGGCTTTCAAATAAATATAATTTTCTTCTACACTTTCTTATCTTCATTTTGATATATTATGGGTCGAATTTGGTTAAGAGTCGATTGAGTTACAAAGTTTTGAAAATTGGCCAAAATCATTTTTAACGAAAGGACCAAAATCATGGATGGTGGACAACCTCAAGGACCATTTCTATTGATCATGCAAATCTCTGGGATCATTTTGGATAATAACCCTTCTAGTTATTACAAGGTGACTTTGTTTTCTGACAGTTCGGATATTAACAAACAGCGGTTATGGTGGTGGTTGTTGGAAAAGGATCCTCACCAGATCCTTTTCCTAGCTTCGAGGGGATCTTGCAATCGTATACGTTCATCGTACATCGTGCGATTAAAAATCATTTTAAAATTTAAAATTAAATATAAATAGTACCTAATGATCCCCAAGAAAAGGATCCAGCGGGGATCCTTTTCCGTGGTTCTTGATACAGGACTTGAATTGTCTCGTTGATGTGTACGTAGTAATTCAAGTTTGTGGGCATTCTCCATTCATAAATTATCTCATTATTCTTATTTCTATAACGTTTGCTTACCATCCTTTTCTTTTTTAACAATGCAGTATTCTAAACTGTTTTGATTTACATGAGGACAAGCACACTGCCTTAACCCACTGATCTAACCTAGGTATGCCGGTTCCTTACCAACCATCTATGCCAAGATTAAAATTCTAAATGATCAACAACTTCACTTTCTATATAATGAACCGCATGCATAAAATGGGAAGATATGCAGGTGCACAATAAATACATACATAAAGCTTAGAAATTTAAAGGTTTGATGCTTGAAATTAATCAAGGATTGGGATATCTTACTCCTAGGAAGGGAAGAATATGATATTTGGCGCACAGCCAACTCTATCATTTACTGCGCTTCCGAGTGAGTAAAGCAAAACATCAGGCTCCTAGGAGTATGATTGTAGTTCCATTATCCTAACTACCTTATCTTGGCTGCTGGGTCTAGTCTTTTATAACGCCCTTGGTTTTGTAGACAACTTCAGAAATGCTATTTTCTTTTTCGAGCTCAAAATGTACATTTATTTGTGGTAGGAAACTGTTGAAGATGGGACATTTGTGACTCAATCATACATTAAGAATTTGTATTCTAATTATTTCAATATTAAAATTTTAATTTAAGTTTCTACTTTTTAGTTTTGATTTTGACAAACATGGTAACCACTCAGATATGAAATTTTAGTTCTAATTGTGAATTTGAAGTCATAATGAAAGTGCATGTGATAAACAGTATATATGTAGCATTTTATAGACTTATGATGCGTTTTTATTTTTTAATTTTTATTTTATAAATAATGACTTCAGGAGTCCCGAGGTTGTTACAAAGGATTTGGGACCTCAAATGGGTTTGCAATCAACAAGAGTCGAACGATTCAGTCTATTTCAAATGATTATTAGTGCCAAATTTTAGAACTAGAGTATCATGCCTGTGATCTAGAATATTGTAAGAGAAAAAATTAAAAAAAAATTAATTATGAAGAGTTTAAAATAAGTTTTACTTTTTCTTTAAACTGAAAACTTGAATTACTCAGTCGAAATAGTTTTAATTTTCAAGAGTGGTGATAATCTCACCCCATTTTCTTATATTTCCATCCAAATTTTAATAAAAAATTTAATACTAATTTAATCCTTTGTAAAATGACATCTAAGACAAAAGAAAAAAAAATTGAAAAAAACTGATTGACAGGTTCGTTCTTCAAGGCTTGTCTATCTGCAATTCACATACCGATTCGAGTTGGAGTAGGTGATGTTTTGAGGAGGTTGCATGCCGAAATGGCAGCAGTTCAAATCTTCACCATATATAGGGTATTATGTAATTACCAAAGTAGCCATCTTCGCAGGAGAACTTGCCCCGGACGAGGTTGGAGTCGAAGTGGTAGAGGTGGAAGTTGCAGATGAAGTGGTAGAGATTGGAATCGATATGGTAGCGGCAGTTGCGGTGGGAGGCGCCGATAAAGTGGAAGACGATGTTCTCAGGACGGGTGGCATGTTGGAGGACGGAGAAGACACCGGGGATTGTGTAAAATGTAATTTATGCCATAAAAATTGAAAAGAAAAAAAATTTTGAATACATTCTAGAGGTTATTTTAAGAATAATGAGTGAAGAAATACCATTTTAATTTTTTAATTTTTTATGGGGAGTGAAATTATAACTAGGATGTAGAAATAAGACATTGTGTTGGGGTTAGTAGCACTCTTCTCAAAATTTGATAGAGAGTTATAACATGTACAAATCTTTATATTTTCCCTTAATTTTGATCCATTCGTTGGTAGAGAAACTATCCTAAGGCCACTTACCATGAGCAAACATATTAATGACGTATTGACGTTCCTGATGTTTGTTGTGCTCCAAATCTATCCTCCCCGACTACAGTCATTGGACCCAAGTTCTTCATGCAATGTAACTTTAACCATATTCCCTTCTTGCCTATAAGGAATCTTAGTAAAAAGTATAGAGTAAGAAATATTTATACGTTACAAATAGCATCCATTTCATCAAGATTATCACATGCAAACCACTCTGATCTCCCAGGGAATTAAGGACATAATGACATTAGCAATTATTGAAAAACCAACCTAAGTGCACTTGACATATATATTTCCCTCACCGTAAGCCATTTGATCATTCTCAACACCAGCAAATAGATCCCTAACATTTTTCTCAGTTTTAGAAATAAACTTGCCCAAAACTTCACTCTATTTATTTCATTCCACATAGTACCTGTAAGTTACAACATTGTAGATACACATTTGTACCTGAGAACTATTCAGCTGAGCTTCCATTGTGGGTCGAGCGGTATAAATGATAAATATCACATTATCATTCAAGACCAAAAATATGAGCCTTTTTCAATCTATTTCCGAAAACTCAAAAGGATTCAATTTCAGAACAGTTTTTTTTTTCACCCAAATGCACATTTGGGTTTCCTTACTCTTCTCGCATCAATTCAAAAGGTCCATAATTTCCAGTTTCATGTACAAATAAGATAATTATCATAAATGTTGCCAATCTAATCAAATAATAAATGTAAAAGTAAATCTCAGTTTACTACCCTTAAGTTTGTGGTTTTCAACATTTAGTACATAAAATTTTTTTCGTTCCAGAATCATACCTAAAGTGTTAATTTTAGGACAGTCTCATACATCCGTTAGTCTGGTTGTTAAGTCGCTCGTTAACTAATGACGTGGTGCCCATGTGGACAATGATTGGACGCCACGTGTCATTAAGGGGTCCACGTGGAAATTAAAAATTAAAAAAAATATTAAAATAACTAATTAAATAAAAAATATTTATTTAAAAATAAATAATAAATAAATAATCCACAAACCCAGAACCCCCTTCCTCCATCCCCTCCACCCCCTCCACCCAAGCAACCCCATCTCCCATCCCCCATCACCCACCCCATACCCACCAAATATTTTCCCTTCTCTCTCTGTTTCTTCCTCGCCATGTACAGACAACCTTTTCGCCGCTCCTCCGGCAACGAACAGGGTCAACCACCGCAACAACCCCAAAGGTACCAATATCCAAAGCTTCCAAGTTGCTACTCAATGACATATTCTCCATATTATGCCTCTTAGACATTTCATCAAATAGACTCAATGCATAGAAATTTTCTTCACAAATTTATCCACATAGTACCAATTAACCCAGCCATACTTAGCATTCAAAAAAGCATGATACACGATCGTTGGGATTCTTAGTGAAGGCCGCGTCAAATGCTGGGATTCTTTGGGGTTTCTGATGTAGCAAGTGCTAGAGGGAGGAGTGGACGAAGAAAGGGTGGCTCGGGTGGGCAAGGGTGGGTGATGGGGGATGGGAGAAGGGGGTGCTCGGGTGGAAAAGACGAAGGGGGTGGAGGGGATGGAGGGGTGTGTCGGATGGGGATGGAGGAAGAGGGTTTTGGGTTTGTTTGTTTGTTTGGTTTTTTTTTTTTTTTTTTTTTTTTTTTTTTTTTTTAATATAATATGCCAACTCCTTTACCAAAACACAGAAAAAACCAATCAAAACCCAGAAAATTTAAACTTCCTCAGACCTTTTGGATCAAGCTCAAAACCCCACAAAAAAAATGATCTACTTTTCCTTTTTGCTTTTACGGGTATTATTTTTTTCTTTTTTCTGTGTAAATTAGATGGTGTGGGGGTGTGGTTTTATACGACAATGATGATCGTCGCGGTAAATGCTCTATCAAAGTCGTGATGAGACGACTGCCCTCGCACAGGGTTGGATCTGACTTGTCACGATAAATTAGCTTGGATCAGAATTGGTTCTTACACTTCATATTACTGGTTGCCCAGAGAGAGAGGAGAAAGAGAAAGTGGTGAAGGAAGGTGGGGGGGCTTCACGACGGGGGTTTTGGTCTTCTGCTTCTTGTTGCGTGGGTCGCTGGCGACAAAAACGACGGCGTAAAAGGCAGAAGGGATAGGGTTGGGTGTGGGTTGGGGGAGGTAGAAGATGGGTGGGGCTTTTTTTTTTTTTTTTTTTTTGTATTTTTTAAATTTTTTTAATATTTGAAGTGGGCACATATTGACACATGACGCTCAGTTATTGTTCACGTGGGTGCCACGTCGTCAATTAATAGAAATTCTAACAGAAAACTTAACGAATGTATGAAACTGTTCCAAAATTAAGACTTGAGGTATGACTCTGGGATTAAAAAAACTTCATGTACCAGATGTTAAAAACCACAAAACCTCAGGGTAGTAAACTGAGATTAACCCTAAATGTAAAAGACAAATACCAAAGCATCTGAAAACATACGCAGCTGAAAAAAATCCAGGAACAAGACATACCGCTATAGGGAAAGCCACACTACAAGGAAAATTTACGCACGGCCTTGACATCATCGGAGCAAGCCCAATGGTAGAGCACACATTGTAACCTGCAATTACCGCTTGATTCACAGTCTTCCAACCTAGGACAATTTTCAATCCAAATTAGATGAGAAAGGCTTCACACTCTCCTGCAGAGTTCCATCAATTAGACCCCAACAAAATTGGCATGTTTATATTACATCTAAGCCTAAAAATAACTATCAAACTCACATTTCTTTTGATTTTCTTTATAAAACAAACTTGTAGACAAATCAAACGAATATAAGCACAATCTCAAATTCAAGCTCCAAATAATTAGTGGGAAAAAGTGAATCACTTACCAGGTTCCTTGAGGAGACGTTGAGTTTCATGCGGGATTAAATACAAAAAAAAAAAAAAAAAAAAAAAAAACCACACACACACACACAAAAAGTTGTTAAAAAAATTACGCAAAAAATCATAGAAAAATAGCAAAGGAAAAGCCCAGATCCAAGAGAGTCTATGATGCTGTGGTTGTCCAGCTGATAGACGACATCCATCGGCGAAGTCTGAGAGAGGCAGAGATAGGTTTGTTTAAATCTGAACCAGATCAAATCCCCTTTTAATTATAATTGTTGGGGTCCAAAAATGTCACACACCAATCCAATCAAGGCTCAAGGCCCAATTGTCATGCAAAGCCTACATTCAAGCCCAAGCACATGCCAAGGCACGGGATCAACGAAGAATGTATTTACAAGCATGCCATGCCGTTGTGATTAAGCCAGATGTTCACGCCATGCTCATGCCTATTCATCACGCTATGCTTCCTTAATCACAAATCATGCTAAGCCCAAGTCACATAATAGGGGCTTGCCAAGTGGATTGTGGTGTGGATGGTTACGGAAGGTTAGTGGACCTACGTGGAATCGGGGTCATGGAAGGCTTTGGGCTGCTTGAGAGCCCAAAGATCCAAGCCCATACCCTTTGTATTCCACGCATACATCATTGAGAAAGAACTCACCTAGTTTATCCATTTCCTTAGGAAGCCAACCCCTTTAGTTAGGATTAAACTAGATTCTTGCATTGAATGCATGTTAAGCCCAGCAAGTCAGGCATTTAATGCTAACTTTCCCTTCCCAGCCTGCATAGACAACCAACGCTTAAAAGCCGTGAGGCTCGCTACTAGATTTAGGGCATGAAGAAGGCCGCCACGAGAAAGTCGCGCCTCGGGAAAAAGCAATCTGTAGGTCTCAACAGTGCATCTAGTTTACACCAACAAGGGAATAATAAGATAGCTAGGGAGAAAGTGGGGGATGACCAAGCCACAAAGGGATATTTCCTTGAAATCTAGAGAAAAACCCTTCACCTACATAAGGAGGGAGAGAAGCCATTCAAGAGAAGATTCAAAGTAACACAAGGA